TGAAGGTTTGGGGGATGATCATTTTTAGGTTCATGTAGAAAAAAGATATTTAAAAAATTTTTTATTAAAATACTTCATGTACAGGTAACCAGATCCAGTAGTTACACCAGAAAGTCCCAGTTCCAGGTAGAAGAGGAGGACATCGAAAAACTAGAAATTAGGTATGTACGTTGGGGTTTTACAAAACTCATTTTTGTGTGTGTGCCAAAAGAAAATCCTAAATTTAACTGAAAAAGTTGAACCATTAGAATTGTTTAATGCGAGTTTTTTGTGAAACTTTAATGGAACATGCATCTAATTTAAATCAAAATTTCTTTTCAAAATCTGATTTATTTGCAGAAATAGGCCAGGTATGCTTATTTTATAAACCAGAAATGACCTAGTTTTTACCTGTTTCATTGTATTAATTTATAATTTTTCCCAAATTTAATTGTTCATAAATTTCTGGACCATAGCATAATGGATGGAAAAGAAACTATACCTCAGCCAATTTAGAACTAATTTTTTTGTTCTTCTTAACATATCTGCTGTCTAACAGAAATTTCAGTCAGGTAAGAAGATAATTCAACAGGTGCATGTGTTTGAAGTTTGTGCTATTTCCTAGGTCTTAAATATCTATGCTATTTGGGAAGAGAAAACTTTATAAATGCATGTGTAGGTGTGGTATTAACAGTGTGTTCCTCTAAATGGTATATTAATCATGTGTTTGGAGCGATCAGGTAATGTATTTTTTTAATCACTTATCTTTACATGTTAATTGGTTGTAACTGAGAGAAAAACTGTAGCTTTGTGTTGTTTTCTTTTCTCAAATTCAACAAAGTAGCTCTGTAGTCCTTATTGTTACAGGCTAAAATAAAGCTTAGACTTTGAAACTTTGAAACTTAAGTGCTTTCATTTAGGCTGTTTAAGATTACTTTCTGTCCTTTGAAATAAAAGCTACCGTAATTTGCTTTCCTGGTCTGGATAATGAAGTATATGACATCGCTAACATCTCTTGCTTTTAAGCATGTAAAATTAATGCTATAACAAATCAAAAAATTTGAAGCTATCTGGTGATATGCATAAACATTGTTTGCTAGAAGTAAAGCCAGTTTTCAAATTTCAGGATCGACTTGTGGAACAATGGAAACCTGGTCCAAGATGTTTTCCTAGGCGAGATTAAGGTTCCTGTGAATGTGTTAAGAACTGATACCTCCCATCAAGCCTGGTAAGAAGATAAGCATTCTAGTAAACTCCATAGTTTAATCCTCTTTAATATAGCATATATGCAAATAAATTCTTTCTATGAACATATTTTAAATTTGCCATGGAATAAGCCAAATGTCATTAACATTGATTTGATCATTAATTCATTGTTGCAGAAATACAGGTATGTTGATAGTTTTATGATTTGACCATGGTACCAATGAAAGAACTGAGTCATCTAGAAATATTTTGCTATTCAAAAGCAAAGTCTTAACTCTGAGGAGAAATAGAAAACATTTACTTTGCATAACAGTTGCCTATATAAGAAGATGCTTGGTCACAAATCAACACTTGCAATTCAGAAAGTTTATTAGTGGTCCTGGGAACTGTAGATGTTTGAAAGCAAAGGATTTGGTTTTGTTTTCAGGGGAATCAGCTACTTAGGAGAACCAACCAGTGTTTTTCCTTCTCCATGCCCCATTAAAATATACTGTGGGTGATCCTAATGTTATTTTCTGAATGTCTAGGGTCTTGTTGAGCTGATTTAGTCAATAACACCTTTTAGGGTCTGTAGGGGTTCAGTAATGCTACAATATTATTTTACCTTTTGATGATTTAGTGTTCAGACATTAAATTGATGCTAATTTCCCTACTAGAGTTGTAAAATGATTTTTTTTTCTATCACTGTATCCTGTTCCTCTCTATAGGTTGCCCAGCATCTCTCAAACTAAACATGGGTTTCAGCTGAGTATAGATGAATACACCTTTGTCATTTGCCTTTTAAGGACTACTTTTTATTTATTTTTTAAAATTTATTTTTGAGATAGAGTCTCACTCTGTTGCCCTGGGTAGATTGCCATGGCATTAGCCTAGATCTCAGTAATCTCAAATTCTTGGGCTCAAGCAATCCTCTTGCTATTCAGCCTCCTGAGTAGCCCTAGCTACTATAGATGCCTGGCTAGTTTTTCTATTTTTTAGTAGAGATGGGGTCTCTCTCTTGCTTAGGCTAGTCTCAAACTTCTGAGCTGAAGCAAACCACCTGCCTTAGCCTACCAGAGTGCTAGGATTACAGACGTGAGCCACCATGCGCAGCCCTAAGGACCACTTTTTATTTTTTATTTATTTATTTTTTTGTGTGTTCTTCTAAGATTTATTTCCATGTATTTAAAAAGTATTTCAAAAAGGACTAATTGGGAAGCAGTTCCTATCATGACCATGTATGTATTTCTATTTAGGTAAGCAAAAAGAGGCAATTAAAAATCACCATTACCTTGGGTGGCACCTATGGCTCAGTGGGTAGGGCACCGGCCCCATAGACCAAGGGTAGTGGGTTCAAACCCAGCACCAGCCTAACTGCAACAAAAAATAGCTGGGCATTGTGGCAGGCACCTATAGTCCCAGCTACACGGGAGGCTAAGGCAAGAGAATCGCCTAAGCCCAGGAGTTGGAGGTTGCTGTGAGCTGTGATAGCACAGCACTCTACTGAGGGCGATAAAGTGAGACTCTGTTTCTAAAAATAAATAAATAAATAAAATCGCCATTACCTTACTAGCCAGTGATTTAACCTTATAGTCATATATATATAGCTTCTAGACATACATATAGTATTTAATAATTCCATTTATTTTGTTTTACAAAGTTGAGATAGTGTTATAAATCTTGTTTCCATTCTATTTTACTTTGTGGGAATTGTTTCAAAATTTTTTTTTCACATAATTAAGACAGCTTGGTAAAGATTTTTTTAAAAAAAATGGCAGCACAATATCCCATAGTTTGAGTAACCATAATTTACTTATTTTCCATTATTCCACATTTAGAGTTTCTTTTTTCAAGTTTTCTTTATTTTAAATGAAACTATAGCAAATACTTTTGCACATTAATCTTTGACCTTGTTTCTTAATAGTTATTCACAATTGCTACAACAATCTCATTTCTTGAGTACTTCCCATGATCCAAGCATTTTTTGGATATTTTACTGCACTGAATTTTCACAACAGTACCACAGAGGAGATACATTTCCATTTCACACATGACAAAACTGAAGCACAAGTAAGTAGAGGAACATGCTCAGAGCCATGAGAGTAGAGCCAAAATCTAAGCTGGTTTGATCTGACTGCAAAGCTCATGCTCCCAGTTATGAATTTTTTAAGGCTCTTGATACATATTGCTAAATAACTTCCCAAAATGGTTGTCGAATTCATATGCCACCAACAATATGAGAGTGTCCATCATGCTGACTCTTTTTTTAAGTGATTACTAGGGATCTGCATCTCACTTTCTATAAACTGTCTCTTCATATACTCTGCCCATCTTTATATGCAAGGCTACCATGGACCACCAGTTATTCTAGCTGTGTTCATGAGCTGTCATTACAGTGGTTTCCCTCCCTTCTCTCTCTTTCTTTCTTTTTTTTTTTTTGGTGACAGAGTTTCACGCAGTTGGCCTCATAGCTCACAGCAATCTCAAACTCAGGCTCAAGCAATCCTGCTTCAGCCTCCCAAGTAGCTGGGACTACAGGCACCCGCCACAGTGCCTGGCTACTTTTTTCTATTTTTAGTAGAGACAGGGTTTCATTCTTGTTCAGGCTGGTCTTGAACTCCTCAGCTCAGGCAATCCTCCCACCTTGGCCTTCTGGTGTGCCAGAAGGTGTAAGCCACCACACCCAGCCAAGAAGTGGTTTCTTCATTTTCTATGAACCAATTATTCATGTATCCTGCTACAAATCTTGCTGGATGGACGGCTGCCACAGGACATGGAGGAGGGCAGTGGCAAGGAGAGCTGCGCGGCCAAGCCCAGTGCTAGCAGCACCTGGACTGTGCAGACTCTTTTATTTCTTTTTTTTTGATACAGAGTCTCACTTTGTTGCCCTCAGTAGAGTGCTGTGGCATCATAGCTCACAGCAACCTCAAATTCTTGAGCTCAAATGATTTTCTTGCCTAAGCCCCCCAAGTAGCTGGGACTACAGGCACCCGTCACAACGCCCAACTATTTTTAGAGATTGAGGTCTCGCTCTGGCTCAGGCTGGTCTCAAGCCTAAGAGCTCAGGCAATCCACCTGCCTCGGCCTCCCAAAGTGCTAGGATTGGGATGAACTCAATTTCTGTTACCTACAAGAGGAGTGTTTCTTATGGACACTTAATGGACAGTCTCATTTTGTCCTTGAGTCTGCCTCTCCTGATTAGCCAAACTTCATTTTAAACTCTTTCATCCTCAAGCAGTTATCCCTTATAGACGATTTTTAGGTTCTCAAAATTTTTGTTTTATTTTTACTATTCCCTAATGCATATGTAAGATTTATTAACCTTTTGATGGATTTTTTTTTTTTTTTTTT